GTAGACTATAACGATAAACACATTTCAGCCATTTCATATAAAGTAGGGTTGGGCTGTAAGGAACCAGTCCAGAAAAAAACTTTGTTTAAAAATTGAAATAATTGACTGGATTTTTTGAGTTTAAACAATTGATGAAGGTTTTGGGTTCCTATTAGACTTCATCTAAACAGAGTTTTTTTTTTATTATTCAAGATCTCATAATTGAAAATCAAATATTCTACGCGAAAATAAATGCACTGAAAGGTTCCATAATCTTTTTGTTATGAGTTGTCAAAAATAAGGTTATGAATTACTGAAATAACATTAATACTAGCTACAATAACCTCTGAACAAATAGCCCAGTAGACATGCACGCTAACAACCATTTATATTGAGATTATTAAAATAATAATAATAAGGCACTCAACATACAGACTAAAGATAATTATCATCATATTCAAGAGTCTCAATGCCACAACAAATCAATAACACATGTCAGGATAAAGTAAGCATCTCTTCTACAAATTACTAACTTAGAAAAAATTATGTCCAAAAAATTAACATGTGCTGACATTCAAAACCACTTCAAACTAAAGCAATGTTACCGTTCAAACGCCGTACCTGTGTTGCGTCGGTTCATCACAATGAACTGAAACCTAGGCTGGGTATTTCTGCAGAGATGCAACAAAATGAACAGAAAGAACATAATCACTCCCCGCAAAATAACTTCAATGCAGCAAAATTGCGATAAAAAAAAAAAAAAAACTTCCAATAAGAAAAAACTGCAATAGGAAACAAAAGTCCAAAAAAGAAAAAAAAAACCAAAATTTATAGTAAGCATGACAAATTACGATAAGCAAAGATGAAATACTCAATAAAAAAAAGTAATCGACAGATCCAGCTACCTCTTTACAACAAATAGAGAGCCTTCGACGTCCTTCCGACTCTACAACAAGAAGATTTTAATCAAGTATCAAACGGAAAACTCTCGCCCCAAAGAGAAGAGCGTAAAAAAAAGAAATAGTTCATATTGCGTACCCATCGATTAGCCTCGATGTTAAATTCGTAGAAAGTGACGTGTGCGGCGGTCATCAAGATCTCCTCTACATAGGGATCGATCCTCTGGAGCACAGTCAGATTGAGCACCTTGGTGCTCTGCTGATCCAAGTTCGGCATTAGCTTCGACATCTCGGCGGCAAATCCCTAGAACCGCAAACCCTAGCTCCCCTTTATTAGCCGAATTCGCAGTGCACCGGAGGTCGACGATCCTTCGAGGTGCCGATGTCGCGGACTCGGCCGAGGAGCGGAAAAGCGACGGTGTCCGAGGTTTTATCGCCGAGAATTTAGCCCTGCAATTTTTTTGCTTTTTAGGAGATTTACATACATACCCTACAATTATTATGTATTTACATATCTTACCTCTCAAATTTAATTTTTACATATATATATATATAATCTTATTTATAAATGAAAAGTCGTATTTTAATTTTTAGATTTTTCAATATTAAAATTTTTTTATGTGAAATGAAAATTTTGGATGACATAAATGTTAAAATTAAAGTTTAAATGTTAGATATGTAAATATATAGGATTTTGGTGGTATATATATAAATACCCTTTTTATTCATTTACATGCATAATTATTATAATTATTATGTATTTATATAATAAACATTTAATTTCTATATTTACATATCACATAAAAAATATTATAAGCTTATTTATATTATTGCTAGCAAAACAAATATATAAAATATGTACTTTTTATTGAACTTAAAAAATAGGAATCACAAACAAAAATAAGAGTTGATTTTTGTGAATTAATTCAGCTTGAAAGTATCTTAAATAATAATAAATATAATAATACATGGAAATTTAAAATTTGATTTGAATAATAATATGTATTTATAGATATATTGAAGTAGTATTTAATGTAGTTGGAGATTGCAATTAAATATATGGGGAATACATAACTTTTGTGTGTCAAAAAATTTACTCTGATAGCATAATAATTTAATGTTTTAGCATTATATGACATCCAGCACACATACATGTGATAAAAAATAACTAAATGAGACATCAAATAGTTTTACCTAGAAAAGTTAGGAGAGTGAAAAATTCAAGTGGCATGGCACAGTTAAAATGATTCACTATGAGTTTTTAAGTACGAAGATAAATCTTTATCTCACAACCGGAAAAAATGTTAAATGGTTTCATCGAATATAATGTCCATATATAAAAAGATTTTTTGTTCGACGATCGAAAGCACTTACTACTGGAAGTTATCGTCTAGCCTTCGGTATACTGTGTTTGAGATACGTCATTGCACGGTATTTAAAATATTAAGTTATTATATATACAAGAAACTTCGTCACTCAAAAAAGTATTTTGTACTCTACAATGCGCGTCGTTACTTTGCAATATGCATCATTGCTCCGCAGTGTAGTTCATTACTCGGCAAAAATCTGCCAATGCTACTGAGTATTTCTTGCTCAAAAAATTTCTCATCGAGCCAGCCAATTTAAGTAAAAATTTGTTAAAAGCGGAGCTCCATATGATTTTCAATTTGAATTGAAACATTTCTTGCTAAAAAAATACCTGAAGGTTCATATCAAATGGTAAAATTAATTGAGGGTGTATCAATAATAACTTAAAAAATGAATTCAGTTGTACTTCAAAACATTCATCGTGTTATGTCATTACTTTAAATTTGAATGTAATGTATAATACAATTTTAATACAATTATTAAAAATAGTATATTACTATATTAGAATTTTGGTCTTTAAAAATTACTTATCTTGTCTATGAATGAGTCATTGGAAGGGGCAGTCAGAGCAGTGAAGTTTCTCTCTATGTATGGAATATAGATCATGAACATCATATGATTTGTTTGAACTTCAACAATCATGCACATTAACTTTGATGGGTTAATGCCATCAATTGATGTTGGCAAGCAAATCATGAGAACATTATGTTAGTGTGATAATGCTTATAAGTGTGTTTATTTAAAGAAAAGTTGCTCGGACGAAGAGATTAAAATATTAATTAAGTATAAAGAAAATGAAACCATACAAATTTAGAGAGTATTAAATTGCCTTTTAAAAGAATGATTTGTGTTATTTATCTGCGAAAAATTTATATAAAAAGAGAAAAAGAAAGCAAGTGGGTTGCCACGATTAGAGTACTGCATGAGATGTTGTAATTAGCATATGATATTTGTGTCAGATTTTTCTCATGCAAATATTAGTGTAAGATTTGCGGGTGTTAATCAGCGAATAATGAATTTTGATCTTTGCGGTGGATTTTGTGTCTGATTTGCGACTAAAAATTCAATGATAAAAGCATTCTAAATATAGAGAAATTTCAATTGGAATTGCGACGGATGTGGCGTCCAACAAAGCGAAGCAAAAAATTTTATCGGTTAACGTTAAACTAATTCTGACACAAATTAGGCTGAAATCCGACACAAATGACCTAATATACTCATCATGCCCGGCTAAATTTCATTTATGCGCTCAGCGCCTCTCCTGATCTCCCCTTTTGCCCGAACTCTCGCAAGCTTCCCCTTTCCCTTTCCCATTTCTCTCTCCCTTTCGGTCTTGCTCAAAACCATCGTCTTCCCGAACAAACCTTCGTGATACAGTTGTCATTAGTCTAGTTTGGAGGGTAGCGACCATATCACGCTTATAGAGACCACTGAAACTACGGAATTTCTCATCCTTCCGCTTCGCTTCTATCAGAAAGCATTCAAGAAGGTAAGTCTATTCGCGCCAATATTTGCATTTATATATTGTATGCATGTAAAAAATGAAGTTTAGGAGTTAGGTGTGTATATACATAAAAATTGAGTGATATGTATGAATACATAGGTAATGTGGTATACAACGACAACAACAAGCCTTTATCCCACTAAGTGGGATCACATGATTCCTTTTTCTCCATTGTATCTTATTGAGCATAGGTGACGTTGTATGTATGTAAAAATTGAAGTTTTTATATTAGGTATGTATATACATATGAGTTTAGTGGTATGCATGTAAAAATTGAAATTTAGGTGTTCGGCGTGTGTGTGTGTACATAAGTATATGTATATACATAAGGGTTCCTAACACCTAAACTTCAATTTTTACATACATACCACTTAACTCTTATGTATATGTATGTATATATATATATATATATATATATATATATATATATATAATATGCATAAGAAGTTTAGGTATTCGGTGTGTAAATACATTAAGGTGATGCCATTAGTTGAATTCATGTTGATCGGTTGAAGTGGAGGAATACATCGGGTCTGTTGTTAAAGTGATGGTGATATATGGATATTGTTATTAGTAGGATTAGAGTTGGTTGGTTGAAGCAGAGCAATGCATGTCGCAATCTGGTTTATTGTTTAAAATGATGGTGATATAGATGAGGATGTTATTAGTAGAATTCAAATTGGTTGGTATAATTGGAGGAATGCATCTGGTCTTGTTCACAATAATGACGATATAAATGGGAATGTTATTAGTAGAATTCATGTTGGTTTGTTGAAGTGGATGAATACATCGGGTTTATTGTTTAAAAATAAACAATTTCAAAGAAGAATCTTATATATGGTTGACCATGTAGTGTTGACTTCACCGGATGAAGCGAACTACTTAAAAGAAGTTCCTAAGGACACTTTCTTAGAGTAGAATTAGCTCCCACAAACCATTAAGCATAATCATCTACTCTACATATTGATATGTATTGACTTTTTTTTATTTTTCATAATAGTTCAACTGGTATGTAAAGCTATATCTATGTTGCAGATGAATATTTGTAATTTGAGAGTTTGGTTGTATAATAGATCATATCAATGATGAAAAATAATCACAGATGAGTTCTTGAATGACGTCGAAGAATTTGTACTGGTGGCATCACAGCTGCCCATCTATTGTTTGGAGTGTAAGGAGCTGTTTGGTTCGTTTCAGTGTTCTTTTGAGAAGCAATAAATCAACCTTTTTTGCCAATGTTCTTTTGAGAAGCAATAAATCAACCTTTTTTGCCATGTGAAGAACTTGAGTTGAATATTTATGTGAAGGGATTCAAACCTAATTATTTCTACTAAGATAAATATTATGGAGAAGACAAAAGATAATTTGAAAGCTAGAATGAACCTAAAAGAGTGTTCCAAAAGGACATCATAACTTTAGGTGACAAATGGAGGTAAATTAATAAAGCTCAAAGTTGTATACTCTCTTACACCAGATCAACGGAGGACAATATTTGAGTGGGTGAATTCTCTAAAATTTCCCAGTGGTCGTGGGTCAAGTTTGAGCTATTGTTTTGACTTGAGAATAGGTAAAGTATTTTGCACGAAAAGTTAAAACTGTCATATATTTTTGGAGTGCTTATCACCTATTATATTTCACGCGTTGTTGAAGTCGGTGCTTGATCCCTTGATCAAAGTCAATATCTTCTTCTGAGAGTTGTGAGCTGGAATATTGAATGTTGACTAGTTAAGACATCTGAATGTGAGTATTCACATATTATTATGTAAGCTGCATTTACATACTAAACTACCCCCATGCTCAATGTAAAATATCTTTGATGCAGATTTTTAAATAAAATAAAAAACGGTTAAGAATAAAGCACATCCTGAGAGATCAATTTGTGAAGCATACCTATTACAAGAGATGATAAATTTTTGATCATATTATTTTAAGCATGGCCATTAAAGAGCTCATATTGTAGGAGATATGCTTTCACAGACAAAATTATTCGTATATCAAATATCAGGTGAGCCATCAGGGAGGCATGATACACGGTATCTAATTGACAATGAGAGTCAGTCAGCCGCATTGTACGTCCTGATGAAGTGTGATGGAGTTTAGTGATTTATATAGTAAGATTCACGGTCCTCAAACTCAATACTACCATTTATTATTGAGAATGTTAGTTATATACTAACTAATTTAAAAATACAAATAAAAATGTTGTTAGTAGATTATTTAGCGACAGTTTGAAAATGGAAGATGAGTTTCAGATAAGTAGGAAGGTCGAAGCTGAATTTCCAATATTGTTCAAATTATACGTATGCAGAAGAAACTCTTTAAATCACATGTGTGTGATATAATCGTCACATTTAAAGTTACACTAATAGTGCATCTCAATTTGTTATAGGTTCACAATACAACCAACAGAATCACAGATCAGATATTACTAGATCTTAATTGGGGGCCTAAGCACAGTGTTACTACATGACAGATATTTGGCATAAATGGTTATAGATTCCATATGAGTTTGTAATGTGAAGGGAAGAAGACATATAACAGTGGTGTCGTTGTTAATGGAAACACACACAGATAATGAGTTTAGTCATTATGGTGTACTTGACGAAGCTATTCAATTGCAATATCAAGGTAATTTTAGCCACATTGTATACTTGTTCAACTGTTAGTAGTTCGATCCTGTTTCGAATCGAAAAACCCGAACACTCATGCCTTATGATATCACTGAAGTCAAATTAAACAGAATTTACGCAAAGTTTGATCTATTTGTTTGGGCAAACCAAGCTACACTGCCTTCAATACCCTGGTAGAGTAAGGGATAAAGTTGATTGGGTTGTGGTTATGAATAATAAACTAAGGAAAACTATTAAACTCCATAGTACTATAGAACCAATTCACCATGAGAAATGTATGCCAGATCTTTGTATTAAGGGCGACACAAACGATGAAATGTTTGCACTGGAGGATACCACGAGGAATTTTTAAGAGGTTGCTCATGGTATAGATGAGAATGATGATGAGAGTGAAGAAGAAATTTTATGCTCATCTTCGACGACGAGTTCTTCTGCTGAAACTTAATAACAAATATATGTAATTTTTGATTAGTTATTACTACTGCTACTTTTTTGTCTTTTATTTTTTTTGTATAGAGGCATAACTTTTTACTCTCGCTTTTCCTATTTTTAAACATAACTGTTACTTGTGTCTTATCTTTATTCCACCATTTTTTTTCTGCTTCTGATTATTTTTCCTGCTAGTACTAATCTTATTAGTGTATTCCTTTATTTGCAGATGGTCACAGGTTGTGCGGGTGGTCAGCCATGTCAGAGACCCTGTGTTATGGGGACACTGAAGACCACCTACCGTAGCAGGAAGAGAAGGTTATCTCTTTCTGTCACTGTTACCACTACTGCGCACCATCTAATGTTGCTACACCTCTTATGGCACATGCTTCCGCACCCACTGTTGTTACCACTCCTGTGACACCTGCCTTTGCACCTACTGTTACCACCTCTCCTGTGACACCTACTCCCGCACTCGCTACTGCCTCATCTCTTGTGACATTTGTTGCTTCCGCATCTACTCCCCCACATGTTGCAACTATTATTGTTGTTGACACGCATACTGCCTCACCACTTGTAGCCTTACCTACTCCGACACCTTTGAACCTGCCGGTGGACTCCTGCCCCCCGAGGGTACATTTACTGCTAAAGAGTGCCTCATAAGCTCTTTTTAACTTTGTATTATGTTTATTATTCATGTTATACATTTATGTAACTAATTTTTTTGCTAAACACATTCATTCCCCACAAGATATCGGTCACTTGCTTCACAAAAATTATCAGGAGCAGGTATGATTAGCTATATCTCTCATGGAAGCAGACCCCTGTAGCATCTCAGATCTTGTGGTTCTGGCATTTCGATGTACATTTAATTATTTACACTAACACATGGATTATTTTTTGACATTGTAGATGTCCTTTACCAGAATAATAATTTTAAATTTTCTTATTTTTATAAAGAGCTCAATCACATCAAGTGTATCAATACAATTATATTAAAAAAAATCATAATAATAAAGACATGACACATATGCTCACGTGGCTTCCCAAAGCTCATATATTTTCTTATGGTTAACTCTATGAGAACTATAAGCCAAAGTTAACATACACATAATATATAGTACCATGTGAGCCTGTAATTAACCCAAGTAGTAAACTCTTACTCTATCTTTGTGGTGTCCCATTGAACGACACAACCACTAACTGTTAACAAAAATGTTTTAGTTATCTAAGATTAATCTCCTCCATTACTAACTAAATGGACTAAACCTATGACAAAACAAGATAATAGAATTATGAAATTTTGTTCAAATTCATCAACATTACTTTAATACTCTATAACTTCTTGCAAACTAACAGTGCTATAACTTCAAACTCTCCACCATTTCACACATTTCAAAAAAAAAAATTAGGGAGATGAAGCTATTGAAGTCCCCCACATAAATTCATCATTTAAACTTCAAAACCCCTTAAATAATATCCCAAGAATTGAGGAATATATATCTCTATCTTGTTATGCTAAAAAGTTCTTTATATAATATCCACCTACAATAAATAGTCCAAAATAGTTAATATTCATCAAATTAAAACACATGGAAAAACCATCATCAATTATAAATTATAAATAAAACAATTCCAAACACTTCACTCAAACATATTACATGGCAATTAAAAAAAAGGAAAATAACATATCCATTCCCACTTCTCTCACCAAATAAAATGGATAAAACATTAATATAAAATCAAGATTTAAAAGGCAAAAATTTTGGTCAATATCCCCATCAAATTTCTCATCAGGACAGATCTCAAAGTCATTGAATTTGTTTAAAAACTTGTGCAATACATATTTTCATTGACTGTATATATAATTTGCACTCATCTCAAAGCAAATATAACAATCACAAAACTCATCCTCATGATCAAACTTCGATCAGAATATCCTTATCCAACATTTCCCCCATTCAAACCACAACAACACACAATGAAAGACCGCATGAAAAACACGAAGAAACACCGAATAACTAAATAGACAAACTTAAGGGGGGATTTACATCTACATATACACCACACAATTCTCATGCATTTGCATATCCAACACCAAAATCTCACTATTTACTCATACAACCCTCACAAATCCTCACATCAAAAATACCTTAAACTTTAATTTTCAAGCAAATCAACACACATTTTTCACAGCTATCTTGACATGATTAAGGTAGCACTAAAATATCATATAAGTAAACATCAAAGTTTAGATACTTAACCCTCACAAATCCTTAACATCACATCAAAAATACCTCAAACTTTAATTTTCAAGCAAATCAACACACATCTTTCACAGCTATCTTGACATGATTATGATAGCACTCAAATATCATATAAGTAAACATCAAAGTTTAGATACTAGATATGCAAATAAATAAAAATCATATGATATGAATGCAAAATGCAAATCCCCCATTAATGCCTTCTTAGAGAAAGGGCAGATAAAGCAACCATGAGCATTAGTAAAATAGTCCCAACAAAGGAAGCTATTATGGCTCCACTGGACTGCTGACAGAAGCCCTGAAACCTCATGCAGAAAGCAACCCAGTTGGCCTTTGAATTCCCTTCATGCGCCAGGTAGACGATGGCCGCCGCCGCCGAAGCTCCGGCCATGGTTAAAGCAACACCCAGCTGCATGCACTTTTGTTATACGATAGTAGTAATTTATTTATTTATATATATACCACAAAATTACTATGTATTTACATATTTAGCACAAAATGTACGTTTTATATTCAGAATATCCAGATATTTCATATCACATCAGGAAATAAAATCATTTTCATGCATTAGTTGGTATGTCTGTAAATTTTAAAGTTTATAGGTTAGATATGTAAATACCAATGTTTTGGTTGAAGATTGGGAGATCTACTGCTAAATTGTGTCAGAATTAAAAATAAATGATAAAATCAACAGAACATTTAGTCAGAAATATAAACTTGCAATTATTATTTTATATCACACAAACATTTTTTATCATTATCATACTTAATTCTCATATTGTTAATTAAAAATTTATTCGTTGCTGTAAAGCGGTGTTTGAGAAACTAATTTCTTAAAAAATTGTGGTGGGAATTACAAATATAATTTCTTAGCATGTCAGGTTGAAAAAATAGTTTCTCACCACAAAAATTTCTAGAAAGCAGTTCCCCAAACAGAACAATGGTGGCTATTTGAAATGCAAACCAGACATAAAACTATCCCAAACAGACGCTTAATGCCTTCTTCTTTTAAAAAATTATTTTAGAGTCTAAATATAAAATTTATATTTTCGTCCATATATGAAGTGTTATCAATATAAAAATTGAAGTATAGGTGTTTGATGTGTAATTATTATTATTATTATTATTATTATTATTATTATTATTATATGATGAAGCTTACAAGGTCAAATGTGAGGAGGAAGAGCCTTGGGCAAGTGAGGAGCGGCTTGATGATGCAGAAAATGGAGAAGAGAAGGGAGAAGGCAAGATATCCTGCCGCAGCTGCATCAGCCAGCACAAAAAACCTGCAACATAACACAAGCTGAAATATTAAGGAGCCATTCAGAATCGCTTCTTAATCTTTTATTTTTCTTTTTTATTATATTTTAATTTGAAATAATATAAAATAGGGGCATTTACACATACATACCACCCAAATCCTACGTATTTACATATCCAACACCTAAACTTTACTTTTTTACAGTTCTACCACGGAAGTCCTTAATTTAATATCATATTAAAAATATTATTATTTTAATTTTTTAATCGTAAAATATATATTTTCATGCATAGACAAAGTGACTGACATGTAAAAAATGAAGCTTAAGAGTTGAATATTTAAATACATAATTATCAAGCGTGTTAAAAAAATTAAATTATTTTTAAAATCACTAAAAATAAATCAGACTTGTTTTAAGTGTTTTTAAAAATAAAATATTTAAAAAATAATAATATGCAATACAAAAAAAAAAAAAAAAAAAAAAAAAAAGGAAAATTTAATTGAACACCAGAGGTTTCCTATGTATTTAAATATCTTAATCCTAAACTTAAATATTTATATATATGTCATCTTAACCATGCATGAAAAAGGTATATTTATAATATTGGTAATTTGAATGTGATATAAGAAAAAATATGAAGGTAGAATTTTAAAAACTATAAGTTTAGGACTTAGATATGTAAATACATAGAAATTCCTTAATATTTATGTAAATGCCACAAAAAAAGGTTTTTTAAAAACAAAAATAATCCCAAATGGCTAATAAGGATTATAAGTTGGGACATGAGTCCAACAATGTGGTGCGATCCACGCTATTATCCTCATGTAGTCCAGGCGACAAAAGTTTGTGTTAGATATGTATGTAAATATATATAAGAATTCAGAAATGTGTATGTAATTGTCTCAAAAACACATTTTTAAAACAAAAATAATTCAAATTGAGAATTTCATTATATGTATAATCCTAATGCATTCACTTCCTTTATAACGGAAAAAATAATCAGTCCGGACATCCGCACATCCGAACGGCCAACCACCAACGGTCACATCAGGTCTGGACAGAATATTTTCTCTCCAAACCACCCCCCTAAGAAAAGAGCAGGATTGGAAGACATACATCAAAGAAGGAAAATCAGCGAAGTCAGCGTAGAACTGAAAATCCTTAGTGAAGAACGGAAGCATTTCACTATCAGTTCCCATAGATACAGCTGCAGAAACGAAGGCCGCAATAGCCAGCAACCTCAGGAAGAAATCAAAGCATGCCAAGCTTCTCTTCCATCCTCCAGGCCTCTTCATCTCCCTCTTCACCAACCTGACCAGGCGGATTCTGTACGGCGGAGCTGCGGCGGGCTTTGCCGCCCCGGCCGCCGCGTCTGCGCTTCCATTGCCGACGGTGATGGAAGTGGAAGGTGCAGCAGCAGCTTCAGTTGAGTTCATGGTTTGAAGAAGGTGGGAGATGGGGTTTGGTTGTTGATGGAGTTGGGGGGAGGGAGGGGAGAGGAGGGGTTTATAGGGATGGAGATGAGTGTGTTGGGTGATGGGGAGGGGGGGAGGTGGTGCAGTTTAGGGAGTAGATGTTAGGGGATTTGGTAAAGAGCTGATCCTTTATTTGATGATTAATGGAGTGGTTATGCTCAAGTTCAATTTAATTGTCATTCTGATGATTTGAGTAATGTTCGGGTTCGTTTCATATCATGATAATTGAGTCATTATTGATCGGATTAATGAATAGTATTATCGAGCAACTTAATCTATATCTAAATGATTTTTCATGGAGCAAATTAAAGTTTGAATCGGCAAACTAATTATTTTTTAACCAAATGAAATTTATTGATCAAACTAATGAGTTTTATGACTGGGTTATTTATTTTCTAATCAAATGAGTTATATTGAAGTTATAAATGAGTTATTTTTGGGGCTTACAAATACAAATGTGCTTTTAAATGAATAGTTAACATATGAATGTAAATATGTAAAATTATTGGACAACTAAACAAGCAAATCTTAATCTTATTTTTATGCAATATGAATTAAAAATTTAAATCAACTTAAAATAAATGAGTTTTAAATTGAGCATTAATTGAATTTATTCATAAATTTTAATTTAAAATTTAATTGATCTTATTCATAAACATTAAATCAAGTTTATTAAAAAATGAAATTGTTCATAAATGATAAGAATAATTACATACATGACACTCAAAACATTGCTATTTACAAATCAAGCACCCGAGTGATTTTTTTGAACGATCAAACCAATGCATTTACACGTGCTACGATCAAACCATTGTGAATTTGAAAAATGAAGGAAAGAGATTGCTTAATTTGTTGCCAATATAATGAATCAAATAAAAAGTTTTTCATGCTCGTGCATTTAAGAATTGAGCATTTATAGAAGTATTCAAACGTGTTCGATTAATCAATTACACAAACATGAACAAACTCTCATCAAACCGAGCTATGAGTAGTTTATCAAACACAACCCTAGAGTCAGTGGATTGTTTTGACATTTTAATCAGGGATAACTATCACCAGTTTGATCAAAATCAAACCGATCCTACCATTTTTAAGAGCGTTGAGGCAAGTGGGCCTCATCGCTCTAAAAAATAACCCAATCACTGTATTATAGTAAGGCCCACATGCTAAGTGGCAAGTGCCCACTAGACTCCGAACGCAAATCTGCGTCCGGTGTCCTGAAGGAATAAGCGCTCCAATCGACAAGGGCAAACTGATAATATCTTGAACAACTAATAATTTAAAAGGAAATTTAGATACATACCACACAAATCTCATGCATTCACATATGTACAACCAAAAATACAATATTTAATTAAGCATGTAAATATGAAAGCTAAGAATTGTGCGGTAAGTGTGTAAACGCCCCAAAGAAGAAACTAATTGTAGTTTGTTGTATTCTTAAAATTACTGGGGAAAAAAATGCATGGATGGAAACTATGTAACAGAAGAAAGAATTTTACAGAACACAGAATGAAATCATATTGATCACCAGTGTTAATTATAATGAAGAACTCATAAGCAAATTATACAATGCAGTGTCATTTTATTTTACAACTGTAAGAGAAAAACACAATAGAAATATGCAAAAGCTGATTACAAAAAATGAGGACTTTTGTAGAGATTTTGCATCAGAGAAACATGCTACCGTCGTAGACTCCACCCTCGTTCTGCAAGAGCGGTACGAACACGCAAAGCAACCTCGGCAGCATCGTTAAGAGGAGGATAGCTCCAAAATTTTGATATCTAAGCAGGACAAAAAATAAATAAGTAAATAAATTATAAGTAAAGATCAATCAATTGGTTAAATCACAAAATAGTCCCCTGTTACTCGAATTTGGCCAATTTAATCCTAGAATGTTGTATCGTATATATTTAAATCGGTGTGCTAATGTTTAATGATGAAAAGAATCTCGAAAATGCATTTCTGGCTTCATGAACAATTACCATATCAGGTAGTTTACAAGGTCGGACATAACATATTTAATTCATAAGACTCATTTGATTCCTTGTAAATAGAAAAACATATTCTACAAAATGATCATTTGGTTTTCATTAATATTCAGTATGAAAGTATAATCATTGGTTTTAAGTGAATTTTGAGAAATTTTGTTAAGTTCAAAATTAATTTCGGTCCTAATTAGAATTAATCAAATAATGGATTTAGCAAACTTTATCAACTTTTAAAATATTATTTCTAACAACAAACAAACAAATGAGCCTTAAAATGTCTTTTAGGGTCATTTGCATACATACCGCCCAATTCCTATGGCTACACATATCTAACATCTAAACTTTACTCGTTACATTTAAACCACCCAAATCTTTCATATCACGGCAAAAAAAAACTCCATCTTAACTTCTAAAAACGTGAAACACACCCTTACGTGCATGAGCAAGATGCATGCATGGATAAATTGTAGTTTAGGTGTTAGATATATAAACACATAAAAATTAAGCAGATGTATGTAAATCATCCAATTCTTATCATCCCTTCCAACGCAGAGATGCCTGACTAGATAGACATATTACCAAAGAAGACTAGAAACCGAATATAGCTTTTTTTGAGGGGGGCGTTTACATACATACCACATAATTCCCATGTATTTACATATCTAACACCTAAAGTTTGCATTTTACATTTCTAATACCCAAAACATTTATATCACATCAAAAATACCACTATATTAACCTTCATATATGTAAAAATTGAAGTTGAAGTGTTAGATATGTAAATAAATGGGAATTGAGTCGTATGTATGTAAATCTTCCTTGTTTTTAGAACATTATATATAGTTATAAAAACTCAAATTCAAACTATATTAAAAAAATGAAAAAATTCACATCCCTCTACTGGCCAAATTGAGCAAATTGCATCGAAAATAACTAAAGCAAATACGCAAAATGTAAAAGAGCACTTACATCTTCCAGTCCTGTAAATGGCCTAACCAGGCCCCTCTCGCGCAACGTTCGGTGGAAAGCAGAGAATTTCCAAGTGCAACGTTCCGCTCCAATCACATAAACAGGTTTCCTACAAAATCAATAGCCACATAAAATGAGCATTGGTAAACAACTGGTAGACAACATGAACAGATTTCAGGGAGAGCAAAATACCCCGAGCTACAAGCCTCGCTCAACATGCTTATAGAGTCAGCAGTTATGACAAAGGCATCTGCCCATGCCAGATGTCCCATATGTGGGTTTGGCCCTGTCAAATTCACAATTTTGAGAAGGAAATTAAATTTAAGGGACATTTGCATACATACAACACAATTATTCTTATGTATTTACATATATAACACCTAAAAATTCATATGTACCTGCACAACACTCAAAAATTTAACATTACATAAAAAATACCACCATCCCTACCTTTTTAAAAGTGAAATATACAACTTTGGGTGTTAGGTATGTAAATATTTATAAACTGAGTGGTAATTATGTTCCCTAAATTTAAATAAGAACAGATGTAAACAAGGAACATAACTTACCCGTGCCATCCCATACATAAACCTTGGGATCATCGCCAAGTTCTTTCAATATAAAGGCAGAAATCTACAGATAAATATCAAGCAGATTGTAGAGCAAATGGATTAGACATAACAAAAGAAAACATGAATTATCGGTTAAGAGTATGATACCTTTTGAGGAGTTCTCCGAGAGAAAGATATTCTGACACTTCCACAGCTTGGTAAAACATTCTGCAGTGAACCTGCCAATTGAATGGCAAGGTCTGCACCATATTTACAATGTCCTATAATATACACATTTTAAACAGTTTTTTAGTTGGTGAAATTTTCAGCATGGTGATACATTCAAAAAAAAAAAAGTAGGAAAAATATTATTCCAGTTAAAAAGAAAGTATAAATAAGGGCATTTACAGACATACCACCCAATTCCTTTGTATTTACACATCTAAAACCTAAAGTCTATTTTTTTACATTTATAACACCCAAATCATTCATATCACATCAAAAATATCATTTTTTAGACTTTTAAAAAGTGACATACACTTTTCGTGCATAGGTAAGGTAGCATGTTAAAATTGAAGCTTAGGTGTTAGATGTGTAAATACATCGGAAATGGTATGTATGTAAATATTCCTTATAAATATAATATTATCATTCTTTGGAAGCTTCAAAACTAAAAATGCTTTATTAGATTAGATCCTTCAATCAAGGCATAGAAATGAGTTATGTTACCTGTAAGAGTCTACCTTCATTATAGCTGGCCAAGTATAAAATTATTCCAGGGTATTTGAATTTATGTTATTTATGTTACTATATAGCAGCGCAGTATTGATAAATATCAGCCAAATGCCATTTATATAATTTAGAGTAATCTTATCTATAGATAGCAATGCTGTAAGGAAAGGTCAATAATGACTCTGGCCTGCCTGCATTTTTTTTAAAGTGTTTCTTTTAATCATCATGATTGAGGTAACATAAACAGCAACAACTGCCACCAATAGACAGTAGGGGCATTTAATACATAGCACCCAATTCTTATGTATTGACATATTTAACACCTAAACTTTGCTTTTACATCTATACCACCCAAATTTTCCATATTACATCAAAAATACTACTTTTTAAATTCTAAAAAGTGAAATAGAGCTTTTCATTCATAAAAAATACGGTATATATGTAAAAAGTAAAGTTTAGGTGCTAGATATGCAAATATATAGGAATTGAGTGGTAAGTATGTAAATCGTCCAAGAAAGCAACAATAACATATGGCTAAGTATTGCACCATCTGTACCTCAGCAACAGCAATAAAAAAAAGTAATGAGACCAGCGGGAGCAGGGAGTGCAATCTACGAGTGGGAGTGCCATAAAATATGATAAGCATGACAACTGGGCCTGCTCAAGCCAAGCATGGAAGAGCAGCCCCAATAATATGACTTCTACCACAACTGTAAGCACACCATTAATACGTATCATCAACTCAAAGAGAATATCAAAAAGTTCATCCGCTAGAGCCAACCTCAATCAAAATACTCATACAAATACATTTTCCTACGGGAGGAAAACCACCACAAGAAGAGAAAAGATGACAAGCAAAATCAACACCACCAGTACAAGTCTCATCCTCTCAGGGCAAATCTACCACATTACTCTAAATGAATCGACACCAAAAAGGATTTGTAACATCAATTCCTATTTGTAACGAATCTAACCTCAAAAGGGTACAACTTTGCAAAACGTATCTGCTGGTCATCCATGCCACATAAACCTCAACAAGCCCAAATCTATCATCAGAAGTCCGCTTACAATGAACCTTAGGAGAAAACAAAGGTTTACCTATTGTGTTGTTGCATTCATGTCTCACTAAATTTCAAGTTTCCTCCTAGAACTAGTGTTGGAGAGGTGAAATGTAACCAACAAATTGCCCAAACCTACGAACTCACCAATCCTAATCATACCCGACAATAAAATTCAATATCTACGATGTAATATTTTAGAACTAGAGCACCCTTCATGAGGGCATCAATATCAAATAGGTTATTCTGCTTAAGGATTTAGTTGACAAAGTAGGTTTAAAATAAAAATATGCTCCTTTATTCACTTTCAAGAATTTGATCTTCTCATTCCCAAATCAAATCTTAAGTACCTATTCCAAAACTTAATAAGAATTTCATAGTCAATGGTAAAACCGGTCATCTTCCCTCATAACAGACTACATCCATGATGTACAACTCTGATCAACAGTCTTAAGGATAATCATGAAATAGTTGCTAGTCAGACTTCCTTCACTGGATTAAGTCATAAACACCAATTCTAAAAAGATAAGATCAATCTTAAAATGATTTTGTGTGCAATTCTATATGCTACTGCAACAACTTCACAAAGAAAAGAGTAGTCATCCACAAACTCTCCCTTTTTCATGAGCAATGTGTAGGAAGTGATCACTGCAAACAACAGGCCTTGTAAAATATGGACTTAAAATCATTTCTGAAACTGACACACACACAGAATACAGTATATATATATATATATATATATATATATAATATAGAGAGAGAGAGAGAGAGAGAGAAAGAGATAAGTTGCTTATTTTTAATATCCAGTGAAATGTTTTATTATATCCCCCCTCCCCCAACAAAATCAGTTCGTCTTAATTCTTCTATAATTTATCCATCGATATAAAAACTACGTACAATTTCCCACCAACAGTAAGCCTCTTCTCCATAATAATTGACATGAAAGTGGTCATTGGCCCTTCAATCAACTTCAATATTGATTCAACCATAAGATAGCCATCGATAATAATATGTAGACCATCTCAGGGATTACCGTAGTACCATGGACCATCTTTACCATCATATATTTGCTTGGACAAAAATTTATGATGATTATACTATGTAAAAGACAATCTGCCCAATAAAGTTGTCTTTTATTTTTCTAATAATAGATCCAATAAGGTATGGCCTTGTAAGATATTGATAATTAATACATCAAAGAGTATTCCATTCCCATGAAAAAAACATGGGAAACTAATAGAAAGTAGCTGCATCATTATTGTCTAATGGACTGTTTGGTAGCCTCAAGATGAGTGGAAATAAGCATCCTAACAAAAACAATCGGTCAAAAAAATTTTATCTCAGGTATGCCTACGTAGGTAATTATATTATTTACAAGATGGTGAAACCTGCAATGCTTTATGGCGCTGAATATTGGCCTTTAAAAGAGAAGCATAAAACAAAGTTAAGTGTTGTTGAAATGAGAATGCTTGGGTGGATGAGTGGCTTAACACTTACAGACAAAATGCGAAACAAATCTACATGAAAGAGTTGGTGTAGCTCCAATTGCAGACAAGATTAGAGTGAGTCATCTTAGATGGTTTGGTCAAATTAAATGTCGACTATCTGATGATCCGGTTAGGAGAGTGGATGTTTTAGATTCAACTTATGTTAAGAAAGGCAGAAGTTGACCTAAAAAAACTTGCGCATATTGTATAAAAAAGATCTTAATCTATTAGAATTAAATGAAAAAAATGTCACTCAATAGGACACAATGGAGAAAAAGGATTCATGTAGCCGACCCCACTTAGTGCGATAAAGGCTTTTTGTTGTTCTTGTTGTTTGAAACATTGAAAGAATATAATTATGAGGAACTTGATGAATTCGCTGGATACTAAATGAATCCATTCACACTATGTTTAACAAAATTACCTCCTCACAAACCTGATATCAAGTACAACATCATCTACAATATTATATATAATAAAATTTCAAGCTTTACAAAAGAAGCTGAATTAGGAGAAGCAAGGGAAAATCAAAGTTTAAGCTCCGCATATAGCAACAATAGAAAACAAATAAACAAACAAAAAAATTACTTGTTGGTCCTCCAATGTTAACCACAATCAAGGGCTTTGGCAAAGGTGCTAACTCGTCATGCCATTCAGAAGCAGCAATTCGTAGTGCAGGTAGTGCAGCAGAATCAGCAGCAATGCACCCAATGTAAGAACCTTTAAGCAAAATAACAAACAATAAGAGGTATAGAATGGCAGATTAATTAAATGATTATAAATTGGGAAATTTACATAAATAGCACACAATTCTTATGTATTTACATATCTCACACCTAAACTTCCATAATTACATGCACCGTCTTTCGTTACTTTAAACATTTGCATGAAAAGGTATATTTCACTTTTTAGAAGTAGTAAGAGTGCTATTTTTTATGTGATATTAAAGATTTAAATGCTATGTGTGCAAATAAGAAAGTTCAGGTGTGAGATGTCAATACATAAGAATTGTCTACGTATGTAAATGCCCCTTACAAATTTCAAATTAGGTGGAAGGACGGAAACAAACCACATTTTGGCCAGGAGGTTCACGGGGAGTTATCCACCACCGAAATAATCGAGGAACCTCTTGCTGTCCTCGAGGGGTTAGAGCATGATAATCATGTTGAGGGGCTACTACCAAGTCGAACCTATCCAAACGAGATCTAGGATGTTGTATCTAAGAATAACCAAATGATGAAGAATCAATAGCATGAAAAAAATAAAACAAGTAAATTATCATATAAAAAAAGAATAAATAGCCAACTGGATGCATCAATAAATCAGCAGATCCTGCAAACATTACAAATGTTACAGCATGAAAAGATTGAAATGGAACAAGTGATTAAAAATTCAGATTAAAATGGAATGATTGTGTTAAAAATTCAGACTAAATTAAAAAGTTGCATTAAAAATCCATATACCTGAATTAAGAAAACGTTTTGGGGTGCCAAACGTTTAATTGAAGCAGCTATAGAGATAGTATCCCATCCAGAAGCAACAACTAAAAGAAGACCTTCCCTGAAAATAAAAGTTTGGATGTCTCGATCAGGGACGTTGTTTCATAATGAATCAAGAGAACAATTTCAGAACTTGTGAAACAAAACACGATTATGTTAATTGTAGAGAGAAGCATAACTACAGTAGAAATAGAACAACTCACCATGGTAACTTTAGAAATTGCAGAAGACCAAAAACTGTTTAAGTTATAACAAACCTAAGGAAAACCAAACTACATTAATAGTTTATGGAGCCGATTCTAATCGAATTAATCTAGTCCAAGTCCACCAAAAAGAGTAAGCAAGTCGGACAACTCCTCATCAATTATCTTATATGAGCTATTTGAAGTCAGCTTTATGAATCCTCATTTTCCACTAATTTTAAACATATTCTCTCAAACCTATTTAAACAACTTCTATAGAAGTTATTTTAAGTATACCAATTTATTTCATAAACATTTGAAGAAAATTTTATTAAGTCAAACAATACGAACTTTCAAAGGCATCCTTTACAACCATCAGATCAAACTTCATTTATCTATTAATATGAATTCTATGGAACTCTGAGTATATCAGATTCTACAACCGCATTTCAAATGAAATATGTGAAAGTCAATTTATGTTGTTGGTGGTGCCAATCAATTTAAAGATAATACATATGTGCTCTTTGAGTGCAGATTTCCTTTCTGATTTTAGTGAGAGGAGTTACATTTATTTGTTTATTATTTTTTGTCCCTCTTGGATCAATATTGGTTTGTCATCATTGTTAAACAGACAAAAATAATGAGCCCAAGTATACAATCATACATTCTAGATTGGTTCATTAGTGATTTAATAATAACAAATTGTTTGGGGGTATCAAATAATTTGCAAGTGATTGACCAGTTTATTAATCAAGGAGCAATCACGAAGATGCTGGACCTTTGGCCAAACAGGCATGAATCTCTTGTAACCAGGAGACTAGTTTCAAATACACAAGTCAGCAATGCAACTCCTCGATCAAATCAGAACCGTTTCGATCAATGCTGAACTGATTGATGAAGGTTCGATCGAAGCATTACAATTGATTTTTCGTTTATATAATAGGATGAAAATGAGGAAGGAGTGTTATCCTCGTGTGTGTAAGCGATCGGGAGAGCAGGAAACGAGCAAAGGAGATGAAGCATGAGCTAGGGCTGCCTTCGAAGGGGTAAAGAAGGGAGAAGAAGACAGGAAGATCGAGAGAGGAGAACAAGTCTACACAAAGGAAGGAAGCTCATATCTAATGAGCATTGGAGCGGCAACTATGTGCAAACAACTCTAGTGAGGCAATGAAGGCAAATCAAACTTGGTCCATGCTCATGAAAAAGTGTGTGTAGGTGGAGATTGCGAGATAGGGAAGAGAAACTGATTCATTTGAACAGGCCAGAGTCTTCGCAAGCCTCGCTCGAGTGAACGGAGAGCAAGAAAAAGCATACATGAACTCCAAAGGGCGTACTCGAGCAAGTACGTTTGAAAGAGATGAAAATGAGAACCACAAATAAATCCCATTCAACAAGCTTCAGGGTAGGCAAGAAAATGAAAAAAAAAGAATAATAAACAAATGAAATACAATAGAACATCTAACAAAATTAGAACGTATTAAAATTGGAGTAAAATTAATACATGAGCACGTAAAAAATTCTGTGACATTTGCATGACATTATAATATTAGGCCATAACATATATATTAGTCCATTAATTTCTTGCAGTAGTAAAGCCCAAATCAATTATATATTGGAAAAAAACTTATAAATAATAACACCATCCAAAACACCACCAACATCCACATGCATAAAACAATGACTTAGTGTTGGCTTTATACAAAATTTCTTCCCATCGAAAGTCATGTTTTGATTGATATATTGCCGCTTCTTTTGACATAGAAAAAAATCAGTGCAAAAAATCTTAATCAAGAACTAGTTATAGAAAGCCTCATAAATTAGTAGAAACATAAATAGATTTCAGAAATATATATATTCGGTTGGAAAGATGCTTCAAGCACTGTTTTACTCTCCACAATTCATTATTAAGATGTTAACATTAGAATCTAAATTCTACATGAAAGTTTGTAATTCCGCAACTTGCCCTGCTCACACAATATTTTACTCTTGTGAATTGTGGTGCATTCTTGACTTGCCATAAGTGTGATCATAAATATTGATGAAAAATGTTTTAAGCTTGAAAGATGATAAAAAATCTACTAATAACCCAAGTTCTTGAGTAAGAATTTAAAGTTAGGCTATAAATTCTACATAATAGTTTCAATTCCTGTCATTATGTGTACTCTCAACCACTCACAGTATACACTTCAGATTGCCAATATCTTATTTTGCCTTTTGGTTTCCATGTGAGAATTATATCCCAAATATCTTATTAATTGAATGTAAAGCGTAAAATCATTTATAGATAAGTAGGAATGAGGCCAATTAAAAACGGTAAGTACTAGCAAATCTTTAGTCAGAGCGCATGGGCTAGACCTGAAACCAAGGAGCATGCTAACAAGAATTGGAGCCCTTTGGTGCTGTCCCCATTGTCTTTAAAAAAAGGAATATTTAAATAAATATCACTCAATTCTTATGGATTTACATATCTAATACCTAAACTTAAATTTTTGCATATAAGCCAATTTATCTATGCATAAAAATCTGTATTTCACTTTTTAAAAGTTAAAATAGTTGTATTTTTTATGTGATATAAAAGATTGGGGTGGCATAAATGTAAAAACTAAAGTTTAGATGTTAGATATATAAAGACATAGGAATTGAGTGGAAAGTATGCATATGCCCCCAAAAAAAGCCATAAATCTAAGGGCTACTTTCAAACCGTTGGTCAGAAATGCGAGTTTGGCGATGTGTCTTCCAAGCAAACATAAACAAAATGAATGATTTTGCAGTTGGAATATCAAGTGTAAATCAGCATCCAGTTATCTGGGTGGAAAATCTAGATTCTAGGCTAACGGTGCAAGAATGCCATATTACAGCAACCAAAAAAAAAAAGGCAAAACAAAATTTATTTGTTTCCATAAACCTATAAGCTTTATATCCCCTCTTCATGGCACGGTCTAGAGCATTTAAGCCAATTACTACCACAAAAATTAAATAGTCAAAATCAACTTTCACTTCATGGAAGCAAAAATAATTCAACTTGCAATAGAAGATACCTAAAAAATTAAACAAATGCTAATTCCTTAAATTTTAAGATTTAGAATCTTGAAGCTTTTTAATTCAAACATTTTTAGCTTAACAGCGTTATGGTTCCCTGTATTTTAAAATTGTCATTTTGAAGTTTTTCATTTCTTAAAATTATCAACTTGTTTATTCCCAGTCACAGCATTGTTATGCACCACTAAATAGCAAAATTTTGGTCCTTCGTTTGAACTGTACTTCAGCTTTCTTGTCCTTGTCTATACTTATTATATTCATTTTGGTCCTGTCTAACCAAAGATCCCATAAGCCTGAACTTCCTGCTGGAAACAACTTAAAGATTTTAGGGTATTTGTATATTTTGGTAACGGTAATAATACGGTCTGACTAGTGGGATCTGACAAAATATGGTGACTAAAATTTTGAATTCTAAAAATATGACCAACCATCATAAAACCAAAAAAAATAATTTTAAAACTAACTAATAATAATACAAAACCACATGCATGTCTTGCAGAGCCCTTCAATTATACACTTGGCTGATCAACAAAGCCAGTAACTTATTCATTAAAGCTTGCGCGTTAAGAGGAGTGAATACAGACTTTTTTTCTCCATCAAAATACTATAAAATTTATTCAATTACATAGCAAAATAAATCCTAGGGGCTGTTTGGTTTAATTTTTATGGAACAACAATATTATCAAGTTGATAATGTTATTTAGATGAATGTGTTATCCTTAAATAAAAGATGTTTGGTTCACTGTAATCTTGCTTAAGGAATAAGTACAGTAATGATCAAAAGGAGATTGTAGCGTTTCTTTTTTCTCGTTGAATTTCTTTTAGCCTTCAAGATTGTTGTAATCTAAACAACGCAATATGACTACCATCTGATTACCTAATTTTAAGAATAAGTTGATACATTCCAATAAAAATATAAACAACTAATCCCAGTCATACAAACAACCCTGCCTGGATTCTATTATAATCTTTGAGCAACAAGGGTATTATGAAGCGGCAATACTTCTAGATCTCAGAGAAAAAATCACTTCAAGATGCCTTAAGAGCCTTCCATCAAATCCATAAAAAAAAGCATCGATCTTGAAGCTTTAGTCTAAAATCCAACAAACAAACTCAATCACGCCGCAACACTAATCAAGCCATCCTATGGCTTAATTTCGATCTCAACCAATACTTATCTGAAAGCCCAAGGGTTCCACCCATTTGCCCATCACCCCAAGAACAATTTTTTTTTAAATAGATCTCAAAGACAAGGTGCCTCACTTCTTAACTCTTTAATAGGTAAGAGGACCAAAATAACCTTCAACTAGGATAATTTTCAACGAACATAATTCTCAAAAGAAATGATGAACCCTCCATCCACCATATACGTTAATCAAAGTACTAAACTACCTACCATTCAGACTTAGCTCTATAAATATACTCCCTTTCAGGGGAATGTAAGGGGGCTTGTGACTTTCCCCCTAATGAGGGCGACTGTTTTATCAGTTCTAGAATTTCATACATTAATTTTAATTTTTATTGACATTTGGATCAACTGTTAACTTGAGATTTGAAAATTCAACTCAAACAAATTCCCAGGTTTAGCCTGATGACCTCTACCTTTGCTGATTATGTGCAGCGTAGAACATCCAGCTTGAAACAGTACACAACACAAATTCTATTGCATTCAAAGATCATTTTCAACACGTAATAATTTAGCAACGTCTGTAATAAAGCATCCCAATATGACCAATTGCAGCCCAAAACCAACAGCATGCATCCATGTGGAAGCATTCCACCATCCTCTAACAAGAAACATGGAAGGCCACCCCCACTCCTCATTGGCAAGCTTCGAACA